CTATTTGTTGAGATTCTTGAAAAGAAAAACAAAATTATTTTTTTATTTATAGAAATAATTTATAAATTTACCAATGTGATTATGACGAATGAAATCATTTGATTTAACATGACCAACATCAGGTTTTGGAAACCAATGATGTGTTGGTTGATCTTTTGTTTGTTCATTAATAGTATTAGTCGTATCACTTATCATATTTAATTGGGGTAAATCAGCTTTTTGACTATTGATATTTGAATTGTTTTTTGGCTTTTTCTGACGTATTGCTAATGGCTGAAGACTACGAATAACTGATTCAAAATCAGTACTAATTGCAATTGATGATAATACAGAAGAATTTTTAGATTTTATTGTTATATCAATATCATTATTATCATCTTCTGTTTCACCTAAATTTGAATTTGATAGAGATGATCGTTCATGATCATTATCACCATTATCGTTAATACCATGAGTATGTGCTAAATAAGCACTAATACGACTACCACCACGATAGCCACGAACTGGACGTTGCATTTATCTGAAGTCAGAAGAGATTTTAACTTTGTTTTTGTAAATTATCATGTTTAGATTTGTATATCATTTATTAATGTTCAGCGTTAATTAGTAGTCGTAGTAGTAGCAGCATAACGAGAAAAATGTTGTAGAGGCTTCATGAGAGAACTTCCTTAGTTGCCCCTTTTCGATTGCAATGATTTTATGTCTATAGATACTACATAGTGTTCCAATAAAAACTCTAAAAGAATTTTGGTTCCTATTGAGAGTTGACTAAGCTATCGAATTTTTTTTAGAGGCTTCCAGATTTTCGAAAAATTCGTATTTTCTAATTTTGATCTGAAATTTTGTGCATTTAGAGAACTTAACTAGGCTAGCTTTTATAGAAAAAATTCAAAAGTTTTAAACGAAGTTTCTTCGAGATATGAGGCTTTCAAAATATAAGTCCTTTCCATAGATAGTGTATACAACATGAGTTTTTTGAAAGGTTCATATCTCGAAGAGACTTTGTTCAAAGCTTCTAAATTTTTCTATGAAAGCTAGTCTAGTTGAGTTCTCTATATGCAAGACCCTCTGATAATACTTCTAGGAGGGAACTCAAGTTCGTTACGAAGTGGAACTCAATCATTTGTGATGGATGTTCAAAGTCTTCCGTTGATGGGTTAAGTCTCTCATCTGGTTACACTAGTAGTTAATAGTATACATGAAGGCTGGAATTTTTTTGAGTTCTTCTTGTTTTAGGTAGCCTTTCCCAATGATAACAAAGTATACGACTATTTAACAATTGTTATCTATGAAAATAAACAGTTCGGTTACTATTTTTGTCCAAAATATCTTCAAGTGAAAAATAATAATCGATCAACACATACAAAACAAAAATAATTTTTAACACAAGCTACAATAAAAATAGTTTTAATCATCATGATCATCATTGTCGGAGTCGTCGTCGTCATTGAGTAATGTTAACTTAGTACCAAAACGTTTTGGTGGCCAAATAATATATAAGGCTCGCCCAGTTACTAAACCTCGAGTAACCTAAAAATAGGATAGATTGATCTTTGATTCCATAAATTACCTCTTTGACTTACACAACCAAAATGACGACTATCATAACTTGCACGTTTATTGTCACCTTCAACCCATAGATGTCCTTGTGGCACTCGTGTTTCTTTTTGTTTTGTTGTATCGCTTAAAAATAAATGCCAATAAATAAATAAAAAATATCACTCCAAAAATGACTTTCTTACTAAATCATTTCATTTTCTAATGCTTTTACACGTTTAATCATATATGTACCTGGTTCGCGAGGAGATCTTACAAAATTTTAATATCACACATCATTCATCGAAATAGAAAAGCTACAAAAAAAGACATACTCAAATGATATAATATCACCTTTCCGTAAAAAATAATCATCCATATGCCACCGTTTTATTAAGACCCAATCACTATGTAAACCAGTCGGATTAAGAAGAGGCTATAGCAAATAAATTAATAATCGATCATAATGAACATAATCTACCTGCATTGAAGTACCATCAACAAGTGATATTGTCGCTATTTTATCCATAAACGTAGTAAGAAATGGAAGAGCCAAAATAGCACCTCTAAATCCATGTTTTAAAAGCTCTTCCAATTTCTATTTAAACATATATATATATATATATATAGATATAGATTTCGACTAGTACTAATCAAAGAAAAAAAAACCTTAATCTACCATATCGTAGTATTAACAATATGAAAGAAAGACAAAATTGATCTAGAGAAAAAAACTATTAATATTTTTGTATTTTTTCTAAATAGAACTACATTAAACTAGATAAAATATAATCAAAAATCAAGATCAACGTGCACAACGCAAGAAATAAAATTTCGATTATGTGAGATTGTATATCATGTCATAAAAATTTGTGGGAATAGGGCAAGCGATTAAGTTCAATTTTGCTGTGGTTTATCATTGAGCTGTCGATTTGAGATTATTAAAAACATGTTGAACATCTTGAAAAACCTACAATTATACAGAAATAATTATTTTATATTTTCATTGTTTAATAAATCAAACCTTGTCAACATCCTTTGAGGCATCAACACGTTTAACTAAATTGTCTTTTTCATAGAGTTCAACTACCGGTCGTGTTGATTCATTGTATGTTACAATACTGAGAGAAACAAAATAAAAATTTATAAATAAATTTTTGAAAATTTTTACCGTTTCTTTAAACTTTCTTCATTATCATCGGTTCGTCCACTTCCTTTACCACCACGGTCAAGACAGCGAGCAACACAAGTCTATATGCAAAACAAAAAAAGATCTAATAAAAAAACAAAAAAAAAAGATAAATGATGATATTAACCTTTTCATCACAATCAAAAAAGAGTACACATTGAACATTAGCTTTTCCATCCATAGCTTGTTTCCATCCGTCAACATTATCTTTATTACGTGGAAATCCATCAATTAAAAAATTTTCTTTGCCGCTCTTTTTCATAGCCTTTTTAAAAACAGAAAAAGAATTTTATTTTGTCACAGAGAGTGAAAATAAATAATTAATTTACATTTTCAAGTAATTTGCAAGTCACTGCAACGGGTACAATAGAACCATTCTTGATATGTTCATTGATTTCCTGACCTAAAGATGAATCAGGTTTTGCTGCTTCTTCGCGAAGAAGATCACCGGCTGATAAATGAACATAACCGTATTTCTATGAAGAATTAAAAAAAAAGAATCTTTTATTCATTGAAATTCTTTGAACAAATACAACTGACCTCGGCAATACGAACACATTGTGTACCTTTGCCTAAATAAAGCAATATCAAGCAAAAAAATTCACATATCAAAGAAGACATACCAGCTCCCGGTCCACCTAAAACAAATATCACATTTGGCTTTTTTGATGCCATCAAAATCTTTCTTAATATATATCTATAAAAAAAAAGAGCTGCATTATTTTTCTCATATAACGTTTTACACATTCTTATCACAGTAATAATAGATAAGCAAAAGAAAAACAAAAGTTACATAAAAATAATAGAATATTTGGACTAGCAAGCAAAAAAGAAATTAGCTTTGTTGGACATATTTATCAATTAACATTTTTAAAACTTTATTTGAATAAAGTTGTGTACCCTTGATTGATAAATTCATAAGAGGACTTGTTTTCTGTTTTGTTAACCATTCTTCAATGGCTTTTCTTTCATATGTATAACCATCAGATGCACATACAGGGTCATTCATTAATTCATGTGTTATTGGACATAGAAATTCATTTGGTATACTTTCTTTATTATTTTCATCTAATGTTGAATTTTCATTTGTTTTTTTCAATGAAATTTGTTTTATAAAATGTTTATGTCTTAATGAACTAAGTTCATTTAATAATTGTTCATTATTATTAAATAATTCTAATATTTCATTATCCGATTTTGATAATAAATCATTTCCAGTTAAATTTAATTTTGTTTTTATATGAAATTGTTCAAGCCATTGTTGAACCATTTCATTTGTCCATTGATCAATAGAATGTAATTGAAATTGTTGTTTTTTAGATTTTTTATGGTTTGTTTCATCATTTTCATTTTCATTATCATTATAATTTATTTTCCATATATTTACCACACGATCATTTGAACCAGATGCTAAATAATGACCATCTAATGAAAACGAACAACATGTTACATAACGTGTATGTGCATCAAATTGATGAATGAAATGGCCTGTATCATAATTCCAAATAATAATTGTTTTATCACCAGAACCACTTGCTAAATAATGTTTTATACCAAATGATACACACATAACAGCACATATATGTTTTTTTAATGTTCTTACAAGTGTTAAATGATGTTTTGATGATGATGTACAATGCCAAATTTTAACATGATTATCATTTCCACCTGACGCTATTAAATGAGGTGGATGGTGATGATGATGTTGACTTTCAGTTGATGAAGGAGAAACAATGTCTAAACATGTTACACCTAAATCATGTGCTTCACGTTCAAAATGAACAGGACCTATAAATGAGGAATTAACAACCCAAACTTTAAGATCACCATAAAAAGAACCAGATATAAGATGATTTGAAAAAAATCGTAATGCAACAATTGATGCTGAATGACCAGATAAAGTTTTAACTGGTCGAGATGATGAAGCAGTTATATCCCATAAATTGATTAATTCATCATCACCAGCTAAATATGAAAAAAAAACAAAGAAATGTTTCTTTTTCTTGTCTAATTTTTAATAAAAAAAAAAAAAGTAATTTAACCTGTTGCTAATAGAATTCCATCAGACGAAAATTGGCAAACACGAATAGGAGATCCACTATCATGTTTATATTCTTTTAGTACACTTATTGTTGTCAAATCCCATAGAAGACAAGTTCCATCAGTTGAAACTGATGCCATATTTTTAATTTTTGAATCATTAGTATCATTAAGAATTGGTGAAAAAGCAAGGCAATGAACTTGATATGTATGTCGTGTTAATGTTGTTGATGATTGATCATTTAAATTCCATAATCGAATTGTTTTATCTGATGAACACGAAGCAAGTAATGGTGATGTAGAATGTGTCGGTGAGAAAATAACGGCATTAACATCAGATGTATGGCCACGAAGTGTATGAACTAATTGGACGGATAATAAAGGTGGATTATCGCTTGTCATTTAAAACAATTGATAACTAAACAATAAGTATCTTTGAAGTTACATTTAAAGACAAGAACGTAAATAAATAGTAATAATTATTAACGCCCCTACAACACTCTAACTGATGACGAACAAGCATATTTTGAGTCAAGTATTGACTTGAGAAAGAAAGAGACCAATTGAAATGCATGCAGATGTTGATGTAAAAAATAAATATTAGATGAAAGCGCCCTCTTATGATAAACTAACGTATGCTTTATTTATTTGTTTTAAAAAATGTCGGAGTCTAGTACTTTGGACTTTTCAATATGTGTAATTGATCAATAAAATAGTTATATATATATTTTTTTAACTAGCAATGTCTTTCAAAAATTATATTCATAAAAATTGTTTTCTTATGAACATTGCAGAATTTAAAATGTGTAATATTGAATAAGTAAAATACGACTTCTTCAGATGATGTCTCTTTAATAAAGCAACAGTTTCTAAAATTTATCTTTTCGAAATTTTTCTATATATTCCACTATACATCTTATCACGAGACGGAAGGAATTATGCTGAGAGTAGATGCCTGGTTGGAATGAGAGCAACAACGACACTCAGGACGAGAAACCAGATAAGGACGGAAGCTGACACCTCAGAATTATATCTCTCTCTTGGTACAGTTCAAATGCATTATATGCTATCAATAGATTGATCTAGATGAATTCCATGGTTTGAATAAATCACGAAAAAAACAAATTCCGGTAGACTCACTTTTTCAGTTTTTGATGTTCTTTGTCTTTTTCTACTTTTGGTATGAAATCAAAGATATTTATTGTGTATTATAACTATAATCATATAGAGATCATAACCTGCTACAATTAACCGTATTTTACAAGATAACAGCCGTTAACAAATAAAAATAATGACTCATTTTATGCACTCATGATACTTGTCTTATCTTGATTTTTTTATATCAGTGTGACGTATTTCATATATTTTTCTTGTTTGAATAGTTACTTATACATAGTAACTATCATTTGTCAATAGTGTTTTAATTAATTATCATTATTTGAGTAGAGATTAATTTACAAACGGAATGTTCACTAGTAATAGTGTTGAGTATGATGACTATCAGATGAGATGATCAGAAAAAGAACTATATTTACTTATAGATGTTGGAACAGTTTATTAACAATGACTTTTTGTAAAAGGAACCTATACGTCATTTTACGAAAGCAAAGAACTACGGAGAAGTAGAAAAAAAAAAGATGAAGGTGAAGATGTTGATATTAATATAGAAGAAGACGATAACATTGAATAACTTTCACTATATACAAATATTGAGAACAGCATTTCTGGACTTGGTGATGACAGTGCTTGATAGACATTAAGAATATTACTTTTCTGTATAAAGTCGTTGTCATCTATGTCAAATATATAAATTTGAAAAGTTTATGTCACACTTTTTTGCACATATATTTTCTTTCAACCTTTTCATAAATTCAGTTCCGTGATCTGGTAGTAATACTATACCATTATATAATCTATAATGCCCTTTAGAAAACATTCAAGCATGGTAATCAAATTAAAAAGAAGTTCGTTTTAGAAGAAATGATAAGAAAAATCATTTGTCAACCTGAATTTGAGACTAAAAGATTATAATTCAATTATTTTGAGTTATTGAAGTGATTCATCATACAGATATGATTTTTTTTGAATCTCAAACATCTCTTACATATTGTGTAGGAAATTAGAATTTGTTTATCAAATACTCAAGTTTGAAATCACATAGATTTAAATTTTGAATTCTTTTACAATCCCAACATAATTTTTTGCTTGGATATTTTTTTAAAATTTATTCTTGTAACACACAATAATACAAAAATAACCTAAACAAAGATTAGAATTCTAATCTTAGCTTTATTCTACATTTCTAATAAAAACAAGAAAAAGCGAAAGAAACAAAAGAAATATCTGACAAAGACTGGTTCAAGAAAAAAACAGATGATGAATAAGGTCTGAAGAAATATTTCACTGTTTTTCAGCCTGAGAAAACTAAAAAACCTTATTCAATTGTCATTATTAAGAAGTATATGCAAAAAGACAACATAATTAACTTAAGAAATAGCAGACGTTTCACATTGAGGATCATTATTAAAACCAAATGATTCTGTGTAATAAACAGGTTGAGTCCATCCTGTTGAATCAATATAAGTTGTTGACCTTGTCGAAGGTAAAATTGGTGAAGAACGAGCACTCGTCTATAAAATAATAAACAAATGATTTTTTTGTCGCAATAGAAAAAAGAAAACAAAATATTTACTTCAATTGAAACATTACTATTTAATCGAACACTATTAACATCTCGACGAAGTTGACTTCGTTCACGTAATGTTCGATCAACACGATCATTTAAATTTTCCATTTGATTTTCAAGTAATTGAATTTTTGATGTTAATAAAAGATTTTCACGACGCATTTCGCGTACTTTGGCATCTTTATCAAGCATACTATTAAATATAGAAATAAGTAATAAGAAGTTTCAAACAAAAAGAAAAATGCTTTGTTTTAATAAAACGAACGTATTCATATTAGCATAATTTATTTGTTTTATCCAATTTAATAAAGTAAAATAAGAGAAAGAGAAGTTCCATGGCTTCACATACAAATAAAGAGATGATTACTGACTTGCTACAAGTGTTTTAATAACAATATCTCATGTTCATATTTGGAGAGTTTGTATAAATTAGAAGAGTGTGTAGAAAAATGGTCTGTAAAAGATGATAGGACTATTCAGATATAAAGATGTATGAGAAAAAGAAGAGAGAGAGAAAGAGAGAAAGAGACAATATCAATGCTTTAAGACAATAAATAATTACCTTGTAAGTAATTGTCTTCGTTCATCAATCAATTCTTGATAAGCTGATTCTTGATTCATTTTTAATTCGGTATCTTTTTCTAGTAATTGTCGTGTTTCATGTAAATCTTTTTGAATATTTTTCATATGATCAAGATATTTAAGTTTCGTACGTTCAAATATACCTCTAAAATAAAGAAATTATCAAATAAAATAAAATAATTAAAATCAATTCTAACCGTTCTTCATGTAAACGTTGTTTATATTTATCTCTAATTAATTCATAATTTTTTTGTAATTGTTCAATTTTTTGTTGATATATTCGACATTTTGCTTGCCAACTTTGACTATCTGTCTTTTCTTTTAAATATAATTGAACAGTTGTTGATGATTCTTTTTCATTTGACTAATTTTTAGAAAATTTAAAATAAAAAGAAAATGTTTTTTTGTTTATTTAAACTTACAGGTGCTGTCAAATGCAATGTTTGATTATTCATTTGTGAGTAATAATCAATTTTATATCGATATTCAATAAGTTCATGTTGTAATGCATTATTTTCTTCAATACGAGTATAAAGTTCTTTACGTACATCAACATATTCATCTTTTAATCGTTTTAATTTCAATTCAAGTCTTTGTCTAAAAAGCAAACTATTAGTACAAACCGTGCAGAATTAAAATATGAAACATGATGTAGCTCATTTTGCTAATCACAGGAAGATTATTTTATTCTATCTATTTTGAAACACATTTCTTCACCATTCTTTTACTTAATTATTCAGAAATGCAATCAAGAAATAGTTCATATATTATAACGAGACGTTATTAATGTATATGGTCTTTGAACTTATATCAATAACGTCTGTCACAATTAGAGCCGATCGGGTTCAGAATTTTCGACCTCGGACTTGAGAAACTGTACTTTGACACTCTCAATGAAACTTACTAATCGAAATTGGATAGTTGCCCCAAAGATACGAAATATATTTTTTTTTGTTTTTTGTATTTGGTGACTAGCGCATCATACACATTTTTTTAGACAACTAGAATTCGTCGGGTCCAAAATTTTTGGATCCTAACCTGATTGTGTCCCAGTTTAGGATCAACCCGACGAGCTCTAGTCACGGTCGATAACGTTTATAAGGTTATGGCTGTCATGTCTGTGATGCACCGTTTCTAACGTATCTGTGATGATCTGTTGCTAGTGACATAATCAAGAGTGGGCTAGGCTGGGCGTCATCCTAGCACTGAAGCAAGAAAAAAAACGTAATAATTACCATTATTGACACTATATTACATGGATTATTGCCAAGATCCCCTGATTACATCACTATCTGTCGATCTCGCCTGCCATGGTCTGTAGGAAAGGAATTGCATGTTTCTACCTTATTTACTTCAACACTCCTTTTAGATCATGTTTCACAAAAAATAAACAAAATACGTTGTTTCGAAAAAAAAAATCCTCAAAAGATCAAATACCGTTTAAGTTTTTCATCTTCAATAATGTTTTGTAACACTGTATTTTGATCAGACTTCGTTAATAATTCAAATCGTAAAGTATTTAATTCACGTTTTGTTGGTTCAGTTGTTTCATTTAAATGAATAAAATGTTTATCGGTTTCACGAAAACGTCGTTCGAATTCTTCACTTTTTTCTACAGATTCTTTAGCTATCATACGAGATTTAAATAGTTCTGTTTGTAATTCTTGAATAGTTCGTTGTAATTCAATTTTCTAGAGAAAATAACAAAAGATTTTTAATTGATCATTTTTGATTTTATTTAGAAAATTCTACATGTTGCTGCCCTTGAGATAAAGCTTGTTCAAGTTCAGCTATTTTGGTCATTTTTAATTTATTTTCTTGTGTTAATTGATTATTAATACTAAGATGTAATGCTGATCGTTCACTTAAATCATTTTGTACTTGTTCAATAAACTAAATATGAATAAAAGAAATTTTCAGAAGGATTAGAAAAAAAAACAAAAAAGTTTGTTTTTATGAACATTTTGTTTTTCATTGATTTCAATTTTAAGTTTATCAATATTTAATCGATATCGTTCTAATTGATTGACATATTGATTATTATCATGTTGTAATTGAATTATTGTTTGATGAGTTTTAAATAATTCACCGTCATAATGTGTCTAAAGAGAAGTAAAAAAAAAAAAACATTAATTCAAAAGAAGTTTTGAATTTGTATTTAAATTTTACCATCAATTGTTTTTGTTCAGTACGTAAAATTTCTATTTGAGAATTACGTTCAGCTATATCATGATCATATTTTTTTTGCAAATCACTTAAATTTGTATTTAATTGATGTAGTTGATTGTAGATTGTTTCACTATCATTATTTGATGTTGTTAAAGCGAATTTAAGATCTCGATTTGTTTCATTTTTTGAATTTATCTGTTTGAATAAAATACAAAAAAAAAAAATAATGATTTGTTTTATTAATAAATTGAATATAATAGATCTACTTCTTCTTCTAGAGTTCTATTTTCTTTTTGCAGTTGTTCATAGACATTTTGAACAGAAGTCAATTGTGCATAAATAGTATCGCGTTGATTAATAACATCATCCATTTGTTGAACAAAATCGAGTTCTTTTTGACGATAATCATTTTGAAGTTTAAGAATTGTATCATAAAGAGACTAGAAGAAGATTCTTAGGAATAAAATTTCATTCAGAGGTAAAGCAAAACAATCAATTCCATACAAAGTTCAGAGTTTTCGTTATTTGTATGGACTGTCAATGGAAAGAAATTCGAACAAAACCAATAAAAAACAAGAGAAAAAAATCAAGACCTATTCTAATCGCTACATCTCTATTCATTAAACCATATTGATTTTGAAATAGTTTTAAAAATCGAATTCTATAAATTTTTTCAATGGAGATGTCTCAGATAAAGTTGAGATTTAAGCAAAATTAAACATAG